AAGGATTAGACATGTGCAAAATGAAAAAAATAAAAAAAAAAAGTCTCATTTTGATTCGTTATTTGACTAAAAAAATTTTGTTTCGATTAAAAAAATTAGTTGAATTCATTTTTTGAAATTCAAAAATTTATTCGAATTTGTCCGAAAAAAATTTCAAATGGATTTTAAAATAAAAAAAAAAAATTCTAAAATAATTCTAATGGATCTGAAAACAATTCTAATAGATTTGTGAATAATTCCAAAGGATTCTTAAACAATTCTAAAAAAATTGAATATAATTCTAACAGATTCGAAAATAAAAAAAAATTCAGATGAATTTTCTGTTATTTGGAGATTCAGATGAATCCAAATTCAGAATTACAATAGTAATGAATTTAAAAAAAAAAAAAACAACGAAAAAAAATTCACCCAAACTTTGAATTGATTCTGATTCAAAAACACAATAGAAAACAAATTCAAATTTGAAAACAAATTCGAAAAACAATTAGAATTTGAAAAAAAATCCGAAAATAAATTTGAATTTGAAAAAAAAACAGAAAAAAAAATAGAACAGAAAAAAAAAGAAATAGAAAAGAATAGAAAAAAAGTAGAAAAAAAAAAAAATAAAAAAGAAAAAAACAGTAGAAAATAACAGAGTAAAAAAAAACAAAATAGAATAGAAAATAAAGGAATAAAAAATAATAGAATAGAAAATATTACAAATAGAAAATCAAAAAAATAGAATAGAAAAGAATGAATCGATTAGAATAGAAAATCAAAGTATAGAAGAGAAAATAATAGATTACCGTAATTTTTCGCTCCATAAGACGCACTTTTTCCCCCCCAAAAAAGGGGGGAAAATGTCAGTGCGTCTTATGGAGCGAATATGGAGCGGGGGCCGGGTCCGGTATTTTCCACCGCCGCCGTGTCAGAATACCGGGCCGGCTGCTCAGCTCTGCAGCGGGACCTTATAGAGATGACTGCTGACCTTTGGGGAGGGAGGGGGAGCGGGAACCTGAATTTGACAGGTACCCGCTCCCACTTCCGTGGAGTTGTTCTTTCATCTTACCTGTTCCTCTATCCAGCGGCGCGCTGTCTTCCCGGCTTCTGTAGTGTGGGCATGACAGCCAGGTGCCAAGTGCGCATGCGCAAGAAGCGGTGCTTTTTGTGAATGGTAAGGCGGCACCTGGGACACATGACAGATCCCAGAAGCCGCCGGACCAATCACAAAGCGCAAGTGCTTCTCGCTCATGCGCACTGGGCACCCGGCTGTCATGCCGAGCGCCATTACAGAAGCCGGGAAGACAGCGCGCGGCTGGATAGAGGAACAGGTAAGATGAAAGAACAACTCCGCGGAAGTGGGAGCGGGTACCTGTCAAATTCAGGTACCCGCTCCCTCCCCCTCCCCAAAGGTCAGCAGTCTTCCCCTGTGCTGTCCGCAGTCTCTGGTCATCCCTGTGCTGTCCGCAGTCTCTGGTCATCCCTGTGCTGTCCGCAGTCTCTGGTCATCCCTGTGCTGTGTCCGCAGTCTCTGGTCATCCCTGTGCTGTGTCCGCAGTCTCTGGTCATCCCTGTGCTGTGTCCGCAGTCTCTAGTCATCTCTTGTACTGTGTCCGCAGTCTCTGGTCATCTCCTGTACTATGTCTGCAGTCCATTAGTTCAGAATTTTTTTTTCCTGTTTTCTGCCTCTAAAACCTAGGTGCGTCTTATGGTCAGGTGCGTCTTATGGAAGGAAAAATACGGTAAAACAGCACAAAATTGAACAGAAAATAAAGGAATAGATTAGAATCAATTAGAACAGAATAGAAAAAAAAGAAATTAGAATATATTAGAAAATATTAGAATATAGAATCAAAGAAGACAAAAGAATAGTATAGAAAACAATATAATAGAATAAAATAGAAAGAATATAACTGCCTTCCGAAATTAAAATTTTTAATAGAATGAATTTAAATGCGAACAGAATACATTGAAATAGAATTTAAAATAATAGAAAATAATCTAAATAGATTAGAAAAGACTAGTAGTGATCAACAAAGGCACTGTGAAAATTTTGCTGAAATAGAAATTTCAAATATGGTCACACAACTCATCATATAGCCCATATACCAGAGGTCTCCAAACTTTCAAAACAAAGGGTCAGTTTACAAGCCATCAAACTTTAGGGGGCCAGAATGTAGCCAGTGGGAATAGAAAATGCTCTGGCATTGGTGGGTGTAAACTGGCCTGGTGATCAGTTGGAGTAAAAAAAAATTACCCTATCGCTGGTATTGGTGCCCCGTTGTTGGTGTCATTGGGAGGTATAATGCCCCATCATTGGTGTCAGTGGAAGGTATAGTGCCCCATTGTCAGAGTCAGTGGGAGGAATAGTGTCCCAAAATTGGTGTCAGTTGAAAAATTAGTTCCCCATCTCTAGTGTCAGAGGAAGGAATAATGTCCCATTATTGGGGTCGGTGGCAGGAATAGTGCCTCGTATTAGTGGAAGAGATAGTGCCCCAAAGGGTCGGATAAAGGTGAGCAAAGGGCCACATTCTGCCCACAGGCCACAGTTTGGAGACGTGCATAACTAAACCCCTGTTATAAACGCATACTGTTAGACAGGTTAATTCGGTTGTTAGCAAGCTGGCTGGCAAGTTGTCCAAGAACATTGTTTTCTCCCCTTTATTCACTATGTGATGCCTGTTTATGTGTCCTTGCTTCATAAGCCAGTTATAGACTTGGGCGGGTGGCCACTTTTATGCATGTTTGAGTTTTTGGTACGTGGGTGCACTAGGACCCTGGTTGCCATTGTGCTACATGCTGGGGTCCAGTGCACTCCTTTGCCTTTAAGAGGGGTGGCTCCCTCAGGTCCACCTGCCCTTGATCTATCCATTAAATGCATGTGCCTCTACTATGGGGACTCACAAATTGTAGAGAAGTGCTAACCATTTAGCCACTGTGCTGCCCGTATTATGTTTATTATTGTTATTCAGGATTTTTTATTAAAAAAATGTGTGTCAACAGTTTGCTCAGTGCTTTACATTATATAGGGAGACAGTACAGTTACAATACACTTCAATGCAAGAGGGTTAGGATTAGACATGTGCAAAATGAAAAAAATTGTTTTGTTTAGTCTCATTTTGATTCGTTATTTGACTAATTTCATTTTGTTCGATTAATAAAATTAGTTGAATTCATTTTTTGAAATTCATTTTGTTTATTCGAATTTGTCCGAATTTGAAATTTCAAATGGATTTTAAAATAATTTTAACGAATTCTAAAATAATTCTAATGGATCTGAAAACAATTCTAATAGATTTGTGAATAATTCCAAAGGATTCTTAAACAATTCTAACCAAATTGAATATAATTCTAACAGATTCGATAATAATTCAAACGTTACAATCCGTAATCCACAACCCATATGTGTTTTTGATGGTATATGGCAGGGGTCTCCAAACTGTGAATAAGGGGGAGAAAACAATGTTCTTGGACAACTTGCCAGCCAGCTTGCTAACAACCGAATTAACCTGTCTAACAGTATGCGTTTATAACAGGGGTTTAGTTAGCACACATTTGCAAATACATACGTAAGCCACAGAGCCACGTCACGGCACTCTGATAATCTGTGGTCCTAACTCTACAATTTGTGAGTCCCCATAGTAGAGGCACATGCATTTAATGGATAGATCAAGGGCAGGTGGACCTGAGGGAGCCACCCCTCTTAAAGGCAAAGGAGTGCACTGGACCCCAGCATGTAGCACAATGGCAACCAGGGTCCTAGTGCACCCACGTACCAAAAACTCAAACATGCATAAAAGTGGCCACCCGCCCAAGTCTATAACTGGCTTATGAAGCAAGGACACATAAACAGGCATCACATAGTGAATAAAGGGGAGAAAACAATGTTCTTGGACAACTTGCCAGCCAGCTTGCTAACAACCGAATTAACCTGTCTAACAGTATGCGTTTATAACAGGGGTTTAGTTATGCACGTCTCCAAACTGTGGCCTGTGGGCAGAATGTGGCCCTTTGCTCACCTTTATCCGACCCTTTGGGGCACTATCTCTTCCACTAATACGAGGCACTATTCCTGCCACCGACCCCAATAATGGGACATTATTCCTTCCTCTGACACTAGAGATGGGGAACTAATTTTTCAACTGACACCAATTTTGGGACACTATTCCTCCCACTGACTCTGACAATGGGGCACTATACCTTCCACTGACACCAATGATGGGGCATTATACCTCCCAATGACACCAACAACGGGGCACCAATACCAGCGATAGGGTAATTTTTTTTTACTCCAACTGATCACCAGGCCAGTTTACACCCACCAATGCCAGAGCATTTTCTATTCCCACTGGCTACATTCTGGCCCCCTAAAGTTTGATGGCTTGTAAACTGACCCTTTGTTTTGAAAGTTTGGAGACCTCTGGTATATGGGCTATATGATGAGTTGTGTGACCATATTTGAAATTTCTATTTCAGCAAAATTTTCACAGTGCCTTTGTTGATCACTACTAGTCTTTTCTAATCTATTTAGATTATTTTCTATTATTTTAAATTCTATTTCAATGTATTCTGTTCGCATTTAAATTCATTCTATTAAAAATTTTAATTTCGGAAGGCAGTTATATTCTTTCTATTTTATTCTATTATATTGTTTTTCTATACTATTCTTTTGTCTTCTTTGATTCTATATTCTAATATTTTCTAATATATTCTAATCTTTTCTATTCTGTTCTAATTGATTCTAATCTATTCCTTTATTTTCTGTTCAATTTTGTGCTGTTTTACCGTATTTTTCCTTCCATAAGACGCACCTGACCATAAGACGCACCTAGGTTTTAGAGGCAGAAAACAGGAAAAAAAAATTCTGAACTAATGGACTGCAGACATAGTACAGGAGATGACCAGAGACTGCGGACACAGTACAAGAGATGACTAGAGACTGCGGACACAGCACAGGGATGACCAGAGACTGCGGACACAGCACAGGGATGACCAGAGACTGCGGACACAGCACAGGGATGACCAGAGACTGCGGACAGCACAGGCATGACCAGAGACTGCGGACAGCACAGGGATGACCAGAGACTGCGGACAGCACAGGGGAAGACTGCTGACCTTTGGGGAGGGGGAGGGAGCGGGTACCTGAATTTGACAGGTACCCGCTCCCACTTCCGCGGAGTTGTTCTTTCATCTTACCTGTTCCTCTATCCAGCCGCGCGCTGTCTTCCCGGCTTCTGTAATGGCGCTCGGCATGACAGCCGGGTGCCCAGTGCGCATGAGCGAGAAGCACTTGCGCTTTGTGATTGGTCCGGCGGCTTCTGGGATCTGTCATGTGTCCCAGGTGCCGCCTTACCATTCACAAAAAGCACCGCTTCTTGCGCATGCGCACTTGGCACCTGGCTGTCATGCCCACACTACAGAAGCCGGGAAGACAGCGCGCCGCTGGATAGAGGAACAGGTAAGATGAAAGAACAACTCCACGGAAGTGGGAGCGGGTACCTGTCAAATTCAGGTTCCCGCTCCCCCTCCCTCCCCAAAGGTCAGCAGTCATCTCTATAAGGTCCCGCTGCAGAGCTGAGCAGCCGGCCCGGTATTCTGACACGGCGGCGGTGGAAATACCGGACCGGCCGCTCCATATTCGCTCCATAAGACGCACTGACATTTTCCCCCCTTTTTTGGGGGGAAAAAGTGCGTCTTATGGAGCGAAAAATACGGTAATCTATTATTTTCTCTTCTATACTTTGATTTTCTATTCTAATCGATTCATTCTTTTCTATTCTATTTTTTTGATTTTCTATTGTAATATTTTCTATTCTATTATTTTCTATTCCTTTATTTTCTATTCTATTTTGTTCTGTTTTACTCTGTTATTTTCTACTGTTTTCTATTTTATTCTTTTATTTTCTACTTTTTTTCTATTCTTTTCTATTTCTTTATTTTCTGTTCTATTTTATTCTGTTCTTTTTTTCAAATTCAAATTGGTTTTCGGATTTGTTTTCAAATTCTAATTGTTTTTCGAATTTGTTTTCAAATTTGAATTTGTTTTCTATTGTGTTTTTGAATCAGAATCAATTCAAAGTTTGGGTGAATTTCATTTCGTTGTTTCAGATTCGTTTAAATTCATTACTATTGTAATTCTGAATTTGGATTCATCTGAATCTCCAAATAACAGAAAATTCATCTGAATTTCGAATTATTATCGAATCTGTTAGAATTATATTCAATTTGGTTAGAATTGTTTAAGAATCCTTTGGAATTATTCACAAATCTATTAGAATTGTTTTCAGATCCATTAGAATTATTTTAGAATTCGTTAAAATTATTTTAAAATCCATTTGAAATTTCAAATTCGGACAAATTCGAATAAACAAAATGAATTTCAAAAAATGAATTCAACTAATTTTATTAATCGAACAAAATGAAATTAGTCAAATAACGAATCAAAATGAGACTAAACAAAACAATTTTTTTCATTTTGCACATGTCTAATCCTAACCCTCTTGCATTGAAGTGTATTGTAACTGTACTGTCTCCCTATATAATGTAAAGCACTGAGCAAACTGCTGACACACATTTTTTTAATAAAAAATCCTGAATAACAATAATAAACATAATACGGGCAGCACAGTGGCTAAATGGTTAGCACTTCCGCCTGGCAGTACTGGGGTCGTTGGTTTTAATTTCAACCACAGCACCACCTGCCTGGAGTTTGCATGTTCTCCCTGTGCCTGCGTGGGGTTTTCCTCCCACACTCCAAAGACATGCTGGTAGGTTAAATTGGATCCTGTCTAAATTGGCCCTAGTATGTGTATGTATGGATGTGAGATAGGGATCTTAGATTGTATGCCCCTTGAGGATTAGGGACTGATGTGAATGTATAATATATATAGAAAAGCGCTGCGTAAATTGATGGCGCTATATAAGTACCTGTAATTAAATAATAATAAGTAGTAAGTAATAATAATAAATAATATATTAAGCTTGCCAGTCCTTACAGTATATGTAGTGTTTGTATTAATTTTCCCTTTATTTTATTTGTGTAGAACAGAATCATTTTTTGTAGAGTCTTGCCCACTGTAGCATCTAAACAAATTATAATGCCTAGTGTGTAATTTGCATGATCGGTGTGTTGTCTGTTGAATACTTAATTAAATTTGTTGAGAGAAGGCTTCTTATATATATAGGGAAACTGTGCTTTTCACTGAGCTGTAAATCTCCCTGCATACAGAGAGAACATAATATTCCTAATAAAATATGACACTTCATCCTTTTGAAGGTAATCTTGTTTCTGAAATTTTCATTCTTGACATTTAATGTCTAAAATATTTACTTACCATGTTTATAATTATTTGCTGTATAAAAAAAGCAAATGCCATACTAGAAGAGACATTTACCAGGCTTGCAAATGATCTTTAATAACAGCGAACCATACCAAACTCAGCCGTAATGACTCCTAAACCTGCCATATACAGTATTAAACTAACGGATGTATAAAAACCACAGTACATACTAATATTGATACATTCAGAAATAGTCAATAAAGCTGAACTAGAAAAAACACCTATCCACCTTGTACCATGTTTCACACATGTGAAGAATAATCAATTTGGATCTTTCTTTCAGCCCTGGTTCACACTGCTGTGACTTCAGATGTTACATACGATTTACACATCCCCAGAAGTCCCATCTAATGTACCTCTATAGCCTCTGTCTTAATAGGTGTGATTTCAAGTAGAAAGATTTGAAAAATAAATCCTGCATTACTTTTTCACAACTTCAATGTGATTTAACTCTCATAGACTGTAAGGTAAATGGCACCAAAATTGTACCTGAGTCTTTATTAGCAGTACCTTGAAGCTGTGCTTTAATGGGGACCAAATCGCACCACTTTGAAATTGTTATACTATACTACTGTCAGGTAAAGGGCATATATAAACAGCCATTCATGAAATACATGTGTTCACTCACAAATTGCAATGTTTGAGAGAAAAAATGTGTTTATTCTGCTCTGTGTACAGTCCAAATGCATATCATGGGACCCGCTGCATCTAAACAAATGCAACAATGCAATGCAGGTCAAACACACTCTGAACATTATTCCACTGAAGTCAATTGGACACTTTCAAATGTAAGAAAACATCACCTATGTATATCAGCACTAATTGTGATTGCTACATTTAATATGTTAATGCATCTTGTTATTTTTCAGAAATTCACTACTGTTTTACTTTTATTGTCAATTGCACCTAGAAAGAAATACACTGACAGCGTATTGAACAACAAAGCCAAATCACCAACATGGCTTTGTTTATCAGAAAAATATAATTCATCCCTGTCACAGACCCAACTGTGGCAGTGGCTTTTGGAGGGGACTAGGGACTAACCTTTTACCCTCTAATTAAGGCCCATGGAGAGAGCAGATTATCTAATGATGGACAACAATGTGATGAACTCTGAGAGCGAGGGTTGGATTAATTCTCTAAGTAAAGACAATACAGCTTCCCTTCTGGAGTTGATGGAAAGATGTAATATTATTCTTATACAGGCTAATGGTCAGAGGAAATATGCAGACTGGGTTGGAGAACCTCCTCCACTTGGGACAAATATATTTATCAGCAATCTCCCTCAAGAAATCTATGAAGACAGATGAATTCCATTTTTTCAGACTGTTGGGATATTGTATGACTTTTGCCTTATGATGGACAGATTATACAAGTGAGAGCAAACACCTGAAAGACAGCATGTGTGATGGACTGTGTGTATTTAGTGCTGGAGGTGCCGGGCTGTTTGGGGTGGGCTCCCTGGCTTGTTTGGGTGCTTTGAGGTTGATTAGCTTACTAATAATTAAATCACAGTTACACTTATAGTAGTTGCTAGCTGTTAATTAGCTTGCTGTTAATTAGATCACTGTTAGCTGTTGGCTGTACTGTTTACTGTTTGCACAGTTTAGGATAATGTGATGAAGCTCTTACCTAATCAGTGTGCTATGTTTATACCATTGTGTTATATTTGTTTTTATTGTTCATGTGGGGACTGCCCCTATTTCTGAAGTGTATAAAAACCTGTATTTCTGTTTGATAAAGGAGTTCCACTTTTTGCACGTAAGCTAGTGTTGTCTAGTCTTGGGTGCAATGCCCAGATATAATACCGTGGTTCTGTGCTCCAGCGGAAACAATTTTCTGACTGAATCACCCAATCGGGGTGCCAACTAGTCCATCACAATCCCCATGTCAGCACCTGTCAGGGCTCTGTCCACAGCAGAGGTACTCGCAAAGTACTGGCATTCCTGCCAGTACTTTGCATGGCCACAGAAATGCACACTGGAGCACATCAATGCTCAATGGTGCAAGCATGCGCACTGGCACACATTGGAACACGCATGCACACTGGCACACATTGGAACACGCATGCACACTGGTGCACAGTTATGCACGCCACCAGCCCCAGCCTAGTTTGGCCCAGATGGCCTTTATAAAGAAGCAAATCACTCTTTCCAGTTGCTGGTTGATCCCTGGCTCTCCAGTACCGTTGTCCTGTGTTTCCTTGCTCCTGTGATCTCCTGTTACCAACTTAGCTTGTTCCTGGACCTATGTTCGCTGCCTATCTCCTGACCTGACCCCAGCTTGGCTAACAGATCTTCTCGCTTGCTCTCCTGTGTATGACCCCAGCTTGGCTAACGGATCTTCTCACTTTCTAACCTGTGTATGACCCCCACTATCCATCTGACTACGTCTGCTCTAATCTCCACCTGGCTCATGACCCTGGCTCCAAACCAGCTACTCTTCTGTCCTCTGCTACATTGAAAACCTGCTGCTATCTCACATGGGTGCCACTTGTCTGCAGACACCACTCCAGTACATCAGCTGTGCTCCCGGTTGCACCTCTGACAAGCATCCTCAGCCAGTTCATCTCTACAAACACTCCTGCAGGTGACCTGTACTACTTTGGGCCTAACTCCTTCAGTCCCATCTTCATGGAGTCTGGAACTTAGCCACAAGGGAAGCTCTCTCTCCACTGGCCTCCAGCACCAGGTACATGATAGCACCAGTGAAATGGAGTTGCATAACTTTGTTTATCACAGAAGTATCCAAATTGCCAAATACAGCCTGCTACAAGATTTTATCATACCCTCTGCTGTAAGAAGAGACTCTAATAGGGACCCTGATGTAAGAGGGGACTTTGATGGGGACTCTGATGTAATGGAGGACTCTCATAGGGACCCTGTTTTAAGGGGGACTAAAGTTTATATGGGATTTCTTTATTTTGCTAAAGTTTTTTTTCTGTTGGTCTAAATCATATCATGCGGATAAAGAAAAACTCCAAGCAAAACCTATTAATTTAAATTTGATTTGTTAATTAAAAAACTGATTTTTTTTTTAGTCCACAAATATTTATAAAATATGTGATGTGGCCCTTGCACTGAAACATTTGGAGACCCTGATTTATAAGATAAACAAAGCCATGTTACATAGGGTCAGAGTTGGTCATTTTACTACAAAATCAAATTTGGCAAATTTTCCTGCTCATTCCCAGCAATATCATGAAAGTGAAAGGAACAGCGTTCTTCCTGAATTTCTAATAAAATCAGCAAGATTTATCAACCAACTACAAAAAATAATCAATGCAACAGACATATTGCAGCATATGAGTACTGGTGCTGATTAG